TTTTTAAATAAGTAGAAAATGTATTTGTGTTTTTGTGGCAATAAAAATGTAGGGTTTAAGGTCCAGGACTTTGTTGCTCTGGTAATAAAGTTGTGAGATATGAGAAAAAAAATTTTTTTTTAATATAAATTTTTTGGGGGTTTAAAATCTTAACAGCTTTAAAAAATAGCCGTTTTCGTGAATTACACGGGAGAAACTGTAAATCAACGGCTTCTTATGGCCACCGATTATTTTATGGCATAAAGAACGCACGGTACTTTTCAGCATAATTATTTTTTTGAATTTTTACACCTTATTATTTGACCAAATAAACTATATGGATTCCGAAAAAATATGTTTTTAATAAAAAGATTTTTGTTCTGAGATGTGTCAGGAATATGTGGAAAATTTCTAACTGAAAACGTTTCACATTACATGTCAACACACTACGGTGTTTTATTTAGTAAGTCTCGGGCGAAGCCGAGACAGGGGGTTGCTAGTTTATTATATGTGTACACACAGTTGGAAAGGGTGCCTTCGAAGTGACGGCCAACAATAAAAAAATTTGGTTTTTATTTCTCTGATTTCCGTACAATTTAGTTTGTAACAGATTTTTTTTGTCTTTGAGTACGGATTTTTTTTTTATTTAGGAACAAAAACTCCTAAGTCATAAACGTCCAACAGGCCAAAGACCTGTATTATTTAAACAATAAATTCCGAACTGGTAGATCAGAGACTCAGACTTAGAATCTCAGGATATTACGTGTAGGGATTGAAGGTATAAGATTCATTCATTTGAGTTTTGTATTCATCGCTCAAAACGACAGGCCTCCGGTTGTTTGGGGCTTAAAATTTCAGGATAAAAAAGCTAGGCCAATCCGTGGATAAGGAGTTCAGGATTTATGGTTTAAAAAACATGGGCGTTTGGCCTGCCTTTTACAAATTTGTAGTTACAGACTAAAAAACCGTGTAAATCTCAAATTATATGTTTAACAGTAAAATAAGTAAAATTTGTGGTATTTATCTGTTGTTTTGTCTCTGTCACTTCTAATTGGCACAAAAAAAAACCATAAATTATCATACACCTGGAAACTCTATTGAAAAAAACCATACACATTTTCCATATGGAAAAACCACATGGAAGTAGGTAAACCATATGGAAGTAGGAGACCATATGGAAGTTGATAAGCCACGTGGAAGTCAGTAAATTTTAAGAGTTGTGATATTCCGTCATAATAGATCATACGCACGGAAAAAAAATATTCTCCGATCGATATAATGTGAATGAATATTAGGTATAATAATTAGCATACACCGAATAACTGGAGCAATTTCATGCTCCTTTTTGTCTACTTTTTGAACTGAGACCATCATTTTATGTTCATAAAATTACAAATGAACAAAGCAATGGTTTCTCCGATCGCGTATAATACTAGTAGAATTTCTAATATACAAAACGTCATAATTTTTATTCTCTGTATTGTAAAATATAAAAACTAAAAGTGAAGTCGTGGATTGCGAGCTTGGAATGTTAATAGTACTTTTACAAATTTTTGATCAAATTAATTTTTTTACTAATGCGTTAACAGTATGATGGAGTGCATATGACTTACATTCTGAGGCGATAACAATCGAATAATCAAGACTATTATTTAGAAAAAAATTGTCTTTATTAGTATCATAATTATGATATATAAAATTTAAGATTACATTTTTGAGATCAATTTTTGAATTTTTTTGACGTTGCACCATTTATAAGAAAATTATATTATTTTTAATCAAATCATTGTAAGTTATTATATTAAGTTATATTTTTTAATCATTATTATTCTTTAGTAATAATTGCTTCGTCTCTGAGCCAGCAGAGTTATAGTCAAGGCGTCAGAGGCTCAAAACTAGTAAAGTAGTGGTTGATCCCAACGATGCGTATT